TTATACCTTTGGTTTTTTTATACCTAATTGTGCTTGCTGTGTGCTGTTTGCCTTATTAGAATTTATACCTTTAGTTTTTTTATACCTAATTGTGCTGTCTGTGTGTTGTTTGCCTTAATAGAATTTATACCTTTGTTTATTTTTATACCTGATTATGCTGTCTGTGTGCTGTTTGCCTTATTAGAATTTATACCTTTGGTTATTATTATACTTAATTGTGCTGTCTGTGTGCTGTTTGCCTTATTAGAATTTATACCTTTGGTTATTTTTATACTTGATTGTGCTGTCTGTGTGTTGTTTGCCTTATTAGAATTTATACCTTTAGATATTTTTATACTTGATTGTGTTTCCTGTGTGCTGTGTGCCTTATTAGAATTTATACCTTTAGATATTTTTATACTTGATTGTGTTTCCTGTGTGCTGTGTGCCTTATTAGAATTTATAACTTTAGATATTTTTATACTTGATTGTGTTTCCTGTGTGCTGTGTGCCTTATTAGAATTAGTACCTTTGGATGGAATATATTGCTCAAGCCCGCTATACAATATCGGGGTTGCACGCATGTGACTGAGTGTATATTGTTGATGGAATGTGTGATGAACATGAACCGTGCTCGCCGTTCTCTCTGGTTTGCGGTTTATCGTGATAGTCATTCTGTCTTTACTTCTGCAGTCTAAATCAAACATTTTTATTGCCCCAAAAACAACCCGTGTGCGTTCCAGTTGTGTTGTAACGCGTGCGCCTGTTTGCCGTTTGTCCTGGATGCATCTGTTTGTCTTTTGTCCTGGATGCACCCGGTATCAAATGATATCTCTCACACCAGACCAAAGTAACTAACCTCTGGGGCGGGCACGTTGACCATTTTCCATTTCTTCTGCTATCTACTCAGCTGTTGTATATCCTCTCCATCTCAACAGACACCCAAGGCAAATGAGCGATGGCCCACCACCGACTTGGCGTGTGAGGAGGTGCGCGACGCCTTCAGATCAAAGCACCTGACACTGGTCATGAAGATGGCGGGCAAACAGGCCGCACGCGAAGCCTTAACCACATGAGACAGACCTGACAGCCACCCGTGTCATTAGAATACACTGGCCATGAATATGGCGGGCAAACAGGCCGCACGCGAGGCCTTGACCACATGAGACAGACCTGACAGCTAACCAAGTCATTAGAACACACCGTGTGTGTAGTAGGCTAACCCTGTCATTAAAATACACTGTGTGTGTAGTAGGCTAACCATGCCATTAAAACACACCGTCTGTGTCGTAAGCTAACCATGTCATTACTTGTTTGTTTTCTGATGTGTTGTTTGCACTAGCACGTTAGAACGAGCGAATCAGAGGGGCCATTAAGACTAAGCTGTGTGTGTGTGGTCAGAGGGGCCATTAAGACTAAGCTGTGTGTACGTAATCAGAGGGGCCATTAAGACTAAGCTGTGTGTATGTTCTCGGCCATATAGCTGCGTATATGTCCTGGGTATTCCTACGCCATGCCTTGACACTCTCATGATTGAATGCTCGTGACGCTAAGGTTAGAATCTATAAAAGGATACACAGAAAATAAACGCAGAAGATAAACACACAAAAATAAACACAGAAGATAAACATAAGATTTTGGCAGTCTTTAAAAGTCTTTTCGTATAGAAGCACCCCAGCAAATCCAAAACCTTTACTAACTTAAGCGTAAAGTAATATACATGTGCATGTACACACGAGCACAACCTTTATTAACTTAAGCGTAAAGTAATATACATGTCCATGTATACTTCTGCGTGAAAGCATACTGATGCCTACTAGAATTGGCCGGAGCGCCAATAACCAGTACCAATTGGCTTAAATGCCCAGCAGAAGGGTGGCGGGGTCCTCCACACCCTGCTTGATCTTTCGCAGGAAGGTTACGGCCTCTCTGCCGTCCACCAGCCGGTGGTCGTACGTGAGAGCTACATACATCATGGGTCGGATCTCAACCTTGCCATTGATGGCCACGGGTCGAGGGAATGTGCCGTGCATACCCAGAATGGCACTCTGCGGCGGGTTGATGATGGGAGTGCCCATGAGCGACCCAAACACTCCTCCGTTAGACACGGTGAACGTGCCGCCTGCCATGTCTTCAATGGCGATCTCTCCGTTGCGGGCCTAGAATAAACAAGTGGTGCATATCGTGAGAAGAGTGTGGGGACTAAATAAACAAAGAGTGCATATCGTGAGAAGAGTGTGGGGGTATCAGGACGATTAGTTATACTTGAACGCCACTCATTGACATACAAAAGGAGAATAACGTAATCGGAACACAACACGATGTTAAAACTCGGCACACAACACCATTTTAAAACTCGGCACACTCGCCCACACCTTCTCTCCCATCTCAGCGATTGCTCGCTCCAGATCAGCGTAGTTTTTGTTGTTGCACTCGCGAATGACAGGCACCACCAATCCCTTGGGCGATGCCACGGCCACGCTGATGTCGATGGCGTCTCTGTATACAATCTCATTTCCCTCGATCACTGTGATAAGGAATGTATATGTGGGTGGTACGATTGCGAGTATTACGATTCCTGAGAGTGCGTACAAAGGCAAGTGAGTATGTATAAATGTGTATATATATTGTGAGTGTGTATAAATGTAT